TTTGGGGGGGTTAGGGTTTTGGGTTTGGGGACATAAAGTGTCTTATGGGCATGTTGAAGATCGATTGGGTGTGCCGGGGTGGCTTGTTTCAAAATTGAGAGTACTGGGGTCGCGAGTCATGCGGGGATCGCATGCCTACGCTTTCGAAGCAGGGCCCTGGCAACCCTGCAAGTGCCGAGAGATTCACGTCCTTGTCGAAGGCCGAAACCAAAGTGCTCTAAACCCTAAACCCTAAACCCATCTAAACCCTAAACCCTAAACCCATCTAAGCCCTAAACCCTAAACCCGTCTAAACCCAAAAATCTAAACCCTAAACCCTATACCCTAAACTCCATGCCCTGCACCCCAAGCGAAACCACGGGGCCATACCACTGGCCAATTCGACTCCAGGGGGGCGCGCCGGGGTTGGTGACCTGTCGAAAGGCGAAGCTCGCGAAGTGGTTGGGGCGGTTTAGGGGGTTGAGTTTGGGGTTGAGGGGTTAGGGTTGGGGGGGGGCCTTTAGGGCTGAGGGTTTAGGGCCTGTAGGGCTGAGGGTATGGGATTTCCAGGCTGTGGGCAGCTTGCGGAATGAAGAGCGCACCAAGGGAAGGGGAATCCTGCCCTCCCCTTCCATGCTAAAGCACGTCCGTCGGCGCTATAGGGTCGCAGAGCACACAGGGTCCGTGTACGTGTGTAAACCCTAAGCCCTAAACCCTAAACCCTTGTTGGGATAAGGGAAGCCTCTGAGAAGGCTGAAGTGGAGAAGGGCACCATGCCTTTGTGTGCAGGATGTTCTGCATATGTAAGCATTGCTACAGCACAGGTGTGCAGGACGTTCAGCATATGTAAGCATTGCTTCGGCACAGGCGAGAGCAGAGCTCCGCATATGTAAGCATTGCGACTGGATTTTGGCTCAAGCATGACAAAGTGCGTGCCTGGATTGGGGTGTGAGGGTTTTGGGGGGTGTTTCCGGGTGGTTCCTCTAGCTTAGGCTGGTCTAGCCTCTTCCGGACCCCCCCTAGCCCGGTGGTCCCCGTCCAGGGTTTTTTCCGTCTTGAGGGTTTGGTTGAAGCTGGGGCTTTCTGGGTGTAGTCCTGGTTTCCCTTAGATCCCTCTTTTCGATGGCCGCTCCTGCGCCCTCCGCCCCTGGTCCTCACGAGGACCAAGGGGTTATGAGCCCAACTGGTGCTCGGCGTGCCATTGATTCGAGATTGGAAGGTGAGACTGCTGGTCCGCGCTACGATCGTCATCCTGCTGGAAATGCGATGCCCAATGGGGTACTTTCGGCTGATGTTGTAAGGCGTGAGGATATGGTGCAGGCCTCACCTGGTGCAGCGAGTTTGGAAAGCGCTCCATGGCCACCAGCTATGACTTCAAGGACAGAAGATGTGGGACCGCCTGGTACATTTTCCTGTGATTCCGGGCTTCGCCAAGAAACGTCTTCCGTGTCTGCTGGGAATGTGGGGCCAACGATTCCGCACTTGGTCGCGCGGGCGAGTACGGATAATCACCCGGGAGGCTCCCAGGGTGGGACTGCCTTGCCAGTCCCGTCCTGGATGAGTCGTCTCGGGGATTATCTTCGCCAAGCTTCCGGACAGGTTGAGACGCTGACAACGACGCTCACGAGGCAACGAGTGTTGGGTAGTAGTGGTGGTTTAGTGGTTCAACAACATGAGCAGTTGCAGCAGCAGCATACCACTTCGCACCCCTCCACACCGCAGCATGCAACATACCCGGCAGCAGCGGCAACTATGTCTGGTGGTTTTTCTCCGACAGGACAACAAAGTGGGGATCCTCCTCTGTTTCCCAGCAGTGCTCGTCGTATTATGGAAGGCTGGGCAAGACAGGCTCCTTTGCTGCATGGTCCGAGGAGTGTGGGAACAGACGATGCTTCATCGGCGTCCATTCCGGTGGAGTTGGTGCAGGAGGAGGTGAGAAGACAAGTGGAAGCGGCCTTGGCAGGACAGAAGGGAAGGCTTGAGCGCCTTCAAGAAGAAAATGAGCGATTGCGGGAGATGGCTTTTGGGGGTGGTGGCGATGTGAAAGGACAAGGCCGGGGTGGGGCTCTATGGAATGAGGCGCAGCGGCAGATGAGGGAGCAGTCTGAGCTTCCTGAGGATCGTGGTGTACCTCATGGAGATCGGGCCTACTCAGCATCGCAAGTGCTTCATGAGGATCGTGGTGTACCTCATGGAGATCGGGCCTACTCAGCATCGCAAGTGCTTCATGAGGATCGTGGTGTACCTCATGGAGATCGGGCCTCTTTCGCAACTCAAGTGCTTCATGAGGATCGTGGCGTACCTCATGGAGATCGGGCCTCTTTCGCAACTCAAGTGCTTCATGAGGATCGTGGCGTACCTCATGGAGATCGAGCCTCTTTCGCAACACATGCACTTCGTGAGGATCGTGGTGTACCTCATGGAGATCGGGCCTCCTCAGCATCTCATGCACTTCGTGAGGATCGTGGTGTACCTCATGGAGATCGGGCCTACCCAGCAACTCAAGTGCTTCATGAGGATCGTGGCGTACCTCATGGAGATCGGGCCTCTTTCGCAACTCAAGTGCTTCATGAGGATCGTGGCGTACCTCATGGAGATCGGGCCTCTTTCGCAACTCAAGTGCTTCATGAGGATCGTGGCGTACCTCATGGAGATCGGGCCTCTTTCGCAACTCAAGTGCTTCATGAAGATCGTGGCGTACCTCATGGAGATCGGGCCTCTTTCGCAACACATGCACTTCGTGAGGATCGTGGTGTACCTCATGGAGATCGGGCCTCCTCAGCATCTCATGCACTTCGTGAGGATCGTGGTGTACCTCATGGAGATCGGGCCTACCCAGCATCTCATGCACTTCGTGAGGATCGTGGTGTACCTCATGGAGATCGGGCCTCTTTCGCTCATGCACCTCGTGAGGATCGTGGTGTACCTCATGGAGATCGGGCCTACCCAGCATCTCATGCACTTCCTGAGGATCGTGGTGTACCTCATGGTGATCGGGTCTTTGCAGCAACAAGTGTGACTTCTGGGGTTCGGGGAGCTCTTCGGGAAGGTCGTCAACCAGTTCCGTCGATGTCTCGGGCCCATGATGGTCCTCGTGCACAGAGGGGCGAAGCTGGTGCCAGGTCAAGAAGTGCAGAAGGACATGGCGAGCTTGGGAACAGGCCAAGGAATGTGTATGCTCGTGGTTATGGTGCCAAGCGATCTGCCTCAGCGAGTCCGTCGCCAAGTGGTGGTAGAGGAGTTGTGGGTGAGAGGTTGTCTGGAGGGGATGTCTGTGGTGTCCCGCCGTTTGACCGAGCCTTCAGGGCTCGCTTGGAGCCTGAGCTAGGGATAAGGGGAGATTATGAGCCGCTGAAGAGACCTGAGGGAGTTGCAACCCTTGGTGCGCCTTGTGAAGCTCCTCCTGGTCTCAGTCCTCCCGTTGCTCCAGGAAGCGAGCAACAACCAGGCGATGTGGCGCCTGCAGCTCCGTCAAGCCCTTCTCCGATGGACATTGTGCTTACAGGTATCGGGCAGCTGCAACAGATGTTGCTGAAGAAGGGAGACGGGTTGGATGTGGATAAGGCGTCGCCGAATTTTCCGATGTTGCCTGACTACACTCCGGAATCTGGTGCCATAGACTTCCAGGACTGGCTGTATCTTGTGGAGCAACAAGTGTCTGCTATGGCGGCAAGCGCTGGCGAGTGGTGGAAACAAGTCATGGGTTCGGCCTTGGAAGCATACCAGGAGTATCAGGCGCTTTCGCCGATCAAGCGGCTTGGGGTGAAAGCAAGGCTATCAGAGGAGCTTCAGGACGGCAAGTACCAGAAGCTTGCGAAAAAGGTGGCAGCCTTACTTCTAGCAGCGCTTCCGACAGGTGTCCGAGATGAGCTAGTGGCCTATCGTGTGCAGGGGACTCATCAGATACTGTTCAGGCTGATGGCTGTGTACCAGCCTGGGGGCGCTCAGGACCGGGCACAACTTCTGAAACAGTTGGAGGTGAGTGAATCTCCAGGAACAGCGACGGATGCAGTGGTTGCATTACGGAGATGGTATCGCCTGTACCAGCGAGCTTTGGATCTTGGTGTTTCCTTGCCAGATGAGTCCGTCCAGGTGAAGTCTTTGGGGGTCTTAACGAAGAAGGTGGCGGAGACAAATCAAGACTTTCGCTTTAAGGTGTCCTTGGCGAAGGCGGAGCTTCAGATTGACACCAGACCCACCTCGGAGAATGTGTTGAAGTACTTCCAACATCTCCTTGCAGAATGTGAGCAGCTTGGGGCTACTGGGAGAAAGGCTACACCGTCACAGGCATCGGAGGCTCCCGGACCCAAACTGAAGGGCATGCAGCAACAGCCCTCAGATGCCGGAAATACCACTCAGAGGCCAAAGGCCAAGGCCTCTCCACCGCCTACGAATCCGACAAAGCCGTGTTCATGGTTCACTACTGATGATGGTTGCAGAAATGGAAAGAACTGCAGTTTCAGGCATTCGTGGGAGGGTCTTCAGCGAGCCGAACGGTGCCTCCTTTGTGGTTCGACGAAGCACAGGGCAAGGGATTGTCCTACGAAGAAGGTGAGTCCTACTGACAAACCGGCCCCAAAGCCGAGGTTGGCCAAACAGCAGGCTGCAGCAGCTACTCCTACAACAGGGGCAGCTTCCTCGGAAGGTCCTTCGCTTTCGTCAGGTCCGTCGGTGCCGGCTGGAGATGCTACTCGTGAGCAGCCTTCAAGCCTTACTCCTTCAACCTTAAACAAGATCGACACGGAGCAGGTGGCGGCGATGTTGTCCGAAACAAACAAGATGCTGAAGGCCTTGACTTCCACTCAGGCTCAGGGCTCTGGCACAGGTTCGGCTTCTTCGGCGCCCTCGGATCCTTTGGGGGTTATACAGAGACAGTTGGAGGATTTGCGGCGACTGCGAATGCTGGTGGTGCTTCCGGAGAGGGTTGGCAATGAAGACTTCCGTGTGAAAATGGATGTGTATGAACGGTTGCTGCAGACTGAGCCAGAGGCGGTTGAGAAGGATTCCGAGGAGAAGATGGCCCTGTTGGATTCGGGAGCGAGCCATGCCTTTCGGGTTGCTGTTGACGATCGTGAGGTGGAACAAGGAAAGTTGGTGAAGGTTGCCTTGGCCAATGATGATCACGTTGTCCTTTCGCAGAACGCTGGTGGAACCCTGTTGTCTTCGCCTTCTACGAACCCTTCGGGTGGTGGAACGATACTACCTATGGGACAGTTGGTGCAGTTGCTTGGATGCACGGTACGATGGTCTCCGACAAGGCTTGAAGTTCGACACCCGATCCATGGCAAGTTGCGAGTGAAAGTCAACCATTTCTGCCCAGAGCTGACCGAGGTGAGCGCGCTACAGCTCATCAAGGAATTGGAGGAAAAACGGGTTGGCGAGTTCACGAAGACCTTGGAGGATATGGAGAGGCAGCTCAAGGAGATTGAGCTCTCGGGCTGTGGAGATCGCGGTTGGGAACAGCACCTCATGGATCTGGTGGAAACTGGGGCTCGAACGAGTTTCTGTGGCTTCATCCAGAAGGTGCCCTATTTGCAGGGGGTGACCCCGGAGGCTTTCGCGACCATCCCTGAGGAGTTCCCGGTGACGAACAAAGAGGGCTGGAGGCTCTTGAAGGGCATGCCGTGGAGTAGAAGGAAACGAAGGAGTATGTTCCTTAGCAACAACTGGCTGGTGCATCTCTTCTCGGGAGACAAAAGGAAGAAGGGGCTGGCTTCTTCAAGCGAATGGAAGGCCAGTCTGCATCGTGATGATGTTCTGGTGGAGGTGGACCTGAACCTTAGCAGTCACTTCGACATGTTAAAGAAGGATGGCATCTTCAAGCTGCTTTTGTGGGGAGCTGCTCGGGGCAAAATTAAGGCTCTATTTGGGGGACCGCCTCGAAGAACCTTTCCCTTTACAGGAAATGAGACGATGCTGTCCTCGCAACATGTTCGGGAAGTTCAGCTGGTTGCCAGGGCGATGATCCTTTGGTCAGTAGCTTCTGAGGGTAGGAGGATCCTTTGGAGAGAGGGATCTTTAGAAACCCCGGGCCCTGGAGTTGGTTGGTTGCTGGAACATCCGAGAGTTGAATCGAGGAAGGTTCCTGGACTAGAGCAAGGCGACAACAAGGAGAGTGACCTTGAGGAGCAAGAGAGGCTGGCTAAGGAATGGTTCGACCTGGGCAAGTTTTCGCATCGTGAGTGCCGCATGTTGTTGGAAGAGATGAACTTCAAGAAGAACTTGCGAGCCTCATCCCGAGGCGAACAAGAAGGATCTGTGGTGCTTGGCGCATATGCTCATGGCGGCAATCGGGGGGTTACTACAGAGGCACTCCAGAGACCGTGGTTGACGAAGTACCTGAACATGTTTATGCGGTGGAATGTGGAAACGCAGCTGCATGAGGATTGCTCTTGGTCGGCTTTGTTGGTCATGGAGACGAATGAAGTGCCTCGACATCGAGATGTCCGGAACGCTCGTGATAGTAACAACTACTTGATTGGGTTGGGCGATGATGATCCTGGCCGCGAGGTTTCCTCCGGTCTGTGGCTTGAAGGGGACCTGGATGGACAGAATGGGTTGGGCGATGATGATCCTGGCCGCGAGGTTTCCTCCGGTCTGTGGCTTGAAGGGGACCTGGATGGACAGAAATTTGGTGGTGGAGGGAGATGTGTCGAAAGGTCCTGTCCATTCTCTGGCTTTGAACAATTAAAGGGCTGTTTGGTTGAGATCTCTGGAAGGATGACGAGGTTCAATCCAAAACAACACCATGCGTATGTGGGGAAGGATCAAACTCAGAAGGAGCTTCTCGTGGCGGCCTACACACCTCTCGGCCTCGACAAGTTGCCGGATGAAAAGGTCGGGAAACTTCGATGCTTGGGTTTTCCGATACGCTCAACCTTGGAATGGGATGAGGGCCCAGCGCTACAAGGAAGGGACCAGGTTCGTGAGGCTCAGGAGGAGCTGGAAAGTGAGGATGAGGAGGAGGCCAATGGACGGGTGCCATGCTACGACCTGTTTGGAACGACCATGTGGAAAACCTTCGCGAGGATGTACACCATGGATGAGGTCAAGTGTGATTTGGAAAACTTGGGACCTACGACTTTGGGTACGAACCTCAATCTCTGGTCTTTGGAGGGTGAGGATGGTCATGGTCTGAAGGCCGGTACAAGAACAAGTCGATGGCCAACGGGGATGATAAGTTCTGTCTGTGATGCTCTATGTGCTTGGCCCGGTTTTGCTACGCGAGAACATGCTTTGACCAGTATGGTTCGAAGGCTGGGAAGGCGAGATGGTGAAGAAGGTGAAGGGAAGCTCGCTAAATTCAGCTTGGAGGAATGGCGCATTCACCTGAGACGGGACCATTTGCCATACAGGAAGGATTGCCGGGAGTGCATCCAAAGGGCGACGGGCAAGCCACATAGGAGAGTCGCTCATCCTTCAGCGTATGTCCTGAGCATTGACACTGCTGGTCCGTTTAGGGCGACGGGCACTGATGGAGCGCGCTACCTGCTAGTCGGGTGTTTCCGCTTTCCTAAGATCCCAGAAACAGGGGACCCTGAGCAGTCTGGTGTGCAGCCTGGGGACGTGGACAAACCGGATGACGAGGGTGATTGGTTGCCTGGGATGGAGGGCGAGGATGTCGTATCAGAGGTTCCTGCTACTGAAGGTGCGCCTGTAGGGGTCTCGGAGGAGCTTGGCCCTGATCCTGCTGCTATTCGTGAGGAAGATGATCCGAAACAGGAGGAGATCAAGGCCCTGGAGCGTATGTCTGAGCCCTTCGAGTTCGAGTCTGCCTATCTTTGTCGACCCTTGAAGACCAGGAAGAAGGCGGAAACACTCAAGGCCTTGCAGGAGATGTACCTGTCTCTAAGACAACGGGGCCTGCCAGTCTTACGAGTACATTGCGACCGAGCAAGGGAGTTCATGAACGAGGGTATGGACATGTGGGCAGCGGCGAGGGACATCATAGTCACGAAGACTCAAGGCGATGATCCGTCACAAAATGGGGCGGCGGAGCGGGCTGTTGGTTTCATCAAGGGCCGGGTGCGAACTTTGCTTGGACAGGCCAAAGCCTACAGCAAGCTTGGAGATGCCGTAGTGAGATCGTGGTGGTCAAGGGCGGCATCAACGATTTGCCAACAACACGCTGCTCAGGCCTTTGGAAGGGGCAATCCTAGCGTCGCTCCTTTCGGATCACAGGTGTTCATCAAGAGGAAGAGGTATGGCCAAGGGGGCACTGACTTCGAGGACAAGTGGATCCAAGGGTCTTATTTGGGGCCTGTTGAGACAGTCTCCCATGGTCATGTTGTTCGCACCGTGCAGGGCAATGTTTGGTACACAACAAAT